CACGATGAACTAGATGCATAGGATAAATTTTTTTGATGGAACTCCAATTTCAATCGATTCCAATTCCAAGATCCAATATCATCGCATACCCTATACCATGCCAATGCCTTTCCCTTCAAAGATAAAGAAAAAACCATCTTCATAACTTCATCTCCGGGTAAACCTGCAAGCTTGAACAATCCATAAATTTGTTCTACATATATCAAGTGCATCAGGATGTTCGGTTCCATCTCCTGCATAAGGATTAGCTAGCAGTTGTTCTATCATACCCGAAGGATTTCATATTCAATACTTTCAGTATGTGCAGTAGGTTGAGGGGTGGCTAATTTTGGTTCCGTTCGAGGTGAAGATACCCCGAACAAACCCCTCAAAGGATTGTTTTCCATAGTAACAAGTGACAATAAATTTCAGCACACTATATAAATGTTTCCTTACCAAATTCCACTTACCAAAGGCGCTTCACTCCCCGGCAACGGCGCCAGAAAATAGCCTTGATGACCCACAAGTATAGGGGATCAATTGTAACTCTTTTCGATAAGTAAGAGTGTCGAACCCAACGAGGAGCAGAAGGAAATGACAAGTGGTTTTCAGTAAGGTAATGTCTGCAAGTGCTGAAATTGTAAGTAGCAGAGTAGTTTGATAGCAAGGTAATTTGTAACAAGCAAGTAACGATAATAGTAGTAAAAGTGCAGCAAGGTAGCCCAATCCTTTTGAGACAAAGGACATGCCAAAACGGTCTCTTATGATAAGCAAAGCGTTCTTGAGGGTACACGGGAATTTCATCTAGTCACTTTCATCATGTTGGCTTAATTCGTGTTCGGTACTTTGATAATTTGATATGTGGGTGGACCGGTGCTTAGATGTTATTCTTACTTGAACAAACCTCCTACTTATGATTAACCCTCCCGCAAGCATCCGCAACTACGAAAAAGTATTAAGAATAAATTCTAATCATAGCATTAAACTTTTGGATCCAATTGGCCCCTTACGGAATTGCGCATAAACTGGGGTTTAAGCTTCAATCACTCTCGCAACCCATCATCTAATTGCTACTCCACAATGCATTCCCTTAGGCCCAAATATGGTGAAGTGTCATGTAGTCGACGTTCACATGACACCACTAAGGGAATCACAACATACATACTATCAAAATATCGAACACATATCAAGTTCACATGATTACTTGCAACATGATATCTCCCGTTACCTCAAGAACAAAAGTAACTATTCACAAATAATAAACATGCTCATGATCAGAGGGGTATTAAATAGCATATTGGATCTGAACATATAATCTTCCACCAAATAAAGCATAAAGTAATCAACTACAAGATGTAATCAACACTAGTAGTCACCCACAAGCACCAATCTATAGTTCCGGTAACAAGATTGAACACAAGAGATGAAGTAGGGTTTGATATGAGATGGTGCTGTTGAAGATGTTGATGGAGATTGCCCTCCCCAAGATGGGAGAGTTGTTGGTGATGATGATGACAATGATTTCCCCCTCCGGAAAGAAAGTTCCTCCGGTGGAATCGCTCCGCCAGAGGGCAAAAGTGCTCCTGCCCAAATTTCGCCTCGAGACGGCAGCGCTCAGTCCTGAAAGTCCTCTCCTTATTTTTTCTAGGTCAATCGACCTATATACCAGAAGATGGGCATCGGAGGTGGGCCTAGGTGAGCACAACCCACCAGGGCGCGCCCGGGTGGGTTGTGCCCACCTGGTGGGCCCTCTCTGGTAGTTATTTGCTCCAATATTCCTCAAATATTTCATAAAAACTCTCCGTGAAGCTTCAGCTTATTTGGAGTTGTGCAAAATAGGTAGCCTGACATAACTTTTCCATGTCCAAATTTCCAGCTGCCGGAATTCTCCCTCTTTGTGTATACCTTGCATATTATGAGAGAAAAGGCATTAGAATTACCCCAAAAAGCATTATTATGGATAAAAACATATTAAATAACAGTAAGAAAACATGATGCAAAATGGACATATCACACGCGTTCTCGGATGCGTATGTGGCATTTGCACCATAAGATGCACCGCGATCGGCGGTCAGCACACGACTTGTTCCATCAACCATGCGCGCGCGTTATTACCATCGCGCATGCTTTTTATTTAAAATGTGTGCCCGTCTAGCACACACACCTTGATCTGTCTGACCGTTTTTGTTTGTTGTGGCTAATCACAAACAATTTATCTGTGTGAAGTGTATGCCATCTATCGCACACACCTTGATCTGGCTGACCGTTTTTGTCGTGTTGCCTAATCGAGAACAGTTTATCTGAGTGAACTATATGCCTTATGTCACACACACATTGATCTGGCTGCCCGTTTCTGTTGTGTTGCCTAATCACAAACAGTTTATCCGAGTGAACTGTATGTTGTATACCGCACACATCTTCATCTGCCTAACCGTGTCTACTGTTATGCTCATCGCAAACAGTTTATTCAAGTGAATTGTATGCCACACATCGCGCACGCAACTATAATCTGAATTGTGTTTGATGTCTCCGCCATCGCAAAAATTTTGTATCTTTTTGACAGTTTTATTACATCATCATTTGGGATTAATGCATCGCACACAGTTTCGTCAAAGGTTCTTAATTGTAGCGTCGTGTTAGCAGCATCCTATAGTAGTGTAAGTTGCCTGGGCCTCACCTGTCATAAGTTGCCTTAACACCAAATGTCCGGATTTTAACGCGTCGCCGTTGTGGGGAGAGAGAGTGGCCCGACCCCACCTGTCAGGATAACACGCGGCCTCACATGTCATAAGTTTCCTTGGCCCCACTTGTCATGATATTAAAGCGACACCACTCTGGGGGAGAGAGTGGCTCGACCCCGCCTGTCAGGAGATAAAGATCAAAGGCTTTAACTAGACGGCAGTGCTCCGTTTGAGTTTTTGTGAGCAGGTGGAGGAGGAGGGGAAATGTGAGCAACGTTAGTTGTCTGGGCTAAAACAATTGTTCAGGAAATCGATAACTGGTAGCTGCTCGGTCGGCTTGGGACTAGGACTAGTGATTAATCGTTGAATCAACCTATTTACTGGATTAATTGGTCGACCATTAATCGATAGATTAAATAGGAATGCCAACATATATCTAGTTTTTTATGTATTATACCATACTCTCATGCTCTCAACTATGTAATATACCAAAATATGCTACTGGTCGGTCGAACCCTAGTTATTGAGGAGCAAGAGGGGGATGGGAGGGGTTACAGGGGAAAAAATTTGGGCTTTGTTTGCCCACAAGCTAATGGGTCAGCAACGATTAATCGGCCTAACAATTGACTAATCGGTCTAACTGGTCAATTAATCGTCCTGACAAGTTAACACGATGAATATGTGCTATTCGAATCAGTCACCCTACAAGTAGCGATTAACTGGGCCATTAACTGATTAATCAGATGAATTCTTAAATAGTGGCTAAAACTGACGATAACTAAGCAACCAAAGGGCACGAAAATAGAAATCCCTTTAGATATACCCCCTCCTTTTCGGTTTGAAGGGCTAAGCTAAAAAATCGTTTTAACCAAGATAGACGGCGAGTGATGAGGCAAATTTTGTAGGTTGCAAAATTAGCATACTCGTTTAAATAAGCGTGCTTATTCTGCAAGTGTATGCATTTGGGACCACTAAATTAGCAAAAATGGCTACATGCACAAGTAGGCTTCCTGTTAAGGTGCCTCGGAAAGTCGGAATTAAAAGAATGATGAAGAGGAATGACAACAGGACTAACAAAATGAAATAACTAAAAACAATGAGGTAGTGTCAATAAATCGGAAATGAGACAGTAGATCTTAGCAAGACAACTCATAATTTTTTTCTCACAAAATAATTTTTTTAGAACTACAAAATACATTAAATAAGGGCCGCTTTAACGGAAATGGTTTGCGTACGACAGTTTTTTGTGCGAAGCTCGTACGACCATACGCAGAATATGTATGCTGCATGATATGGCTCACGCACCGATTGTCTCTGATGGAGTTTCATCGCAAGTATAGCATTGCTCTTGTTTTAAATAAAACGGTAAGATATATTGTACCGGAACTATTATCTCTAACCATCTACTACACTCCTATCGTTAGATATAGCTTCCTTAAAAAACCATTAGATTTAACTGAAGATGTAATGAACTGAAACTGTTATATAGGAGTATCTAAACATCTACAGTAATATGATTAGATATAGCTTAAGATATAATGAACTGGAACTGCCGATCATATGACCAAATTTTACCTTTGATCTCTGCCAAAAAAAAAAGTGTGTCTATCAATATGCATTTTGTGCTGGGAAAAATGCGAGAAATGTCGGAACGGACTTGTTCGTTTTTTGCACATCAAAGCAATACGCCTTCCATCATCTAACACGGTCAATTAAACAAGAGTGCGAAATCCCTACTTCGTTGACTCTTTACTAACCAACCTACCCCCAAAACAAAAGCAAGCAACGCT